AATCTATTTATTTTGTGCATAAACAATCAAACTCCGATGACAATTCACAAGAAGTGGATAAACTTCACTTAAAACAAGCTTTTTGTCCCTATTTCTGTTTCATGTTGATTATTCGGAAAAAGAACAAAATAGTAAAAAGTTATTAGAAACCATATCATCTAAAAATTGTGACTATTTTGTGTTAGAAAATAAACATATAATCAAATATGTTAGCGGAAGCGGAATTTAAATAAACCTCCGGCCATTGCTAAAAATTAAATTTATTCTCGATACTCTCTTCTTCAAGCAAACGCTAGATTGGAACCGTGGAAGACGGTATTACCAAACTCTGGAACCCTTGGGAGAATGTTGTCAAACTTTGGAACCTGCGAATATGTCGCCAGATCCTGGAATCCTAGGTTGATGTTGCCAAACCCCAAACCCTGGCTCTCAAATAGCGATGGTGTATTCTGATTTTTTGAGAGTAGGTTGATTTTCTGAGAGTAGGTTTAGTATCATTTCTGCCACTTCTCATGTATATTTTGAATGTGATAGACTTAATGGGAGAAAAGTGGCCACAAGTTAGTTTAATTATATAAGATAATTCAAAAATAATCAAAATTCAAATATGATTAATTAATTAATTAAACTAACATTTTGATACCAACATTTGAGGAGAAAAAGTATATAACAGAATAAGCCACAGATCATGTGTTGATCAGACTAAGTCAATATTGTGCTGATTTGATCGAATAAGCATATGCTATAAGAGTGATCACATATGTTGAGTTATAATAATATATATTATATTATAAATATGTTGAGATATATATAAATATATATTAATCACTCTTATAATATATACTGACTCAAATCAACAACATGCTCACTTACCAGATCAGCAGCTATCCATGCCCAAAAGAATAAGCATGATACGTGATAGTTAGAAATCGCATGCGTTAATTGTTCAAATTATATGCGATATTTGATTGATTTTGATTGGCTTCTACATAATTTATGTGCGTATTGTTTATTTCCGACATGCATAAAAGAAAAGACAAATTTGGTGAATTTAGAGAAGAATAAAAGAAATAAAATCAGTTTTGGACAGTCAAGTTACCCTCTTCACATGAGAATTTAATTAAAAGCCCAACAGTCTAAATACAAAATAATTAGGGCAAAAATTAAATAAAAAGGGGAGTCACACCCACGAGGATGAGAGAACGGCCAGAGAGAAAATAAGCGGATTAGGATTGCGTAGAAGCAAATCGACAAAGAAGATTTCCCCTTCAACTAACTTTATCTTTCTCTATTGTTGTTTGTTATTTGATTATAGAGTGGATACTTTTCTGGTTTGGAGATATAATGTTTTGGTTCTTACGGTTTTGAAGATTTCTGATTTTTTTTATAAAAGTTTTTTTTATTGTCAATATTTGTTTAATCCTGGAAATAATGATTATGATTGTTTGATTGATTGGATATTTTGATACTGATATTTAAATTGGTCTAATAATCTAAAGTCAATTCAAGTAGAATATCTGTAATTGTATTCGCATTTGAATAGGTGACAACCGGGTTGAATAGTAATTGTTTTGAATTGAGTTTTTCTAAATTAGAATGCGAGTAGACAATATTACTTATGGGCGCACATAAGTTTATTAGTTTAATTATGAGTAGTTAATGGACGTACCTTAATTACCTACTGTAAGAAAATATTGGTTGTCAGAGCTTGTTGATAATTATAACAAATTTATTAATACTTTAATAAGAACTAACTTTATTAAATCAATTATAAAATATAAGTGTCCCTTAAGCCAGATATCCTTTGATAGCTAGTTCTCCGTTAATTTAATTGTTTTATTATTTTGCCTTCATTAGATAATAAAAAAAAATTCTCCCTTTTATTTACTGTATTAGAATGCGAACGAGTGAATCACACAATCCTGTGGAGACGATCACTTCCATGTATTACATTACATTAAATTGCGATCAAATTATTTGATTAACCGCGCGACAGGTCAATATGACATGGTGTTTTCCTGCACCACAATAATTTTATAAGTGGGTAAATATTTAATTTATTATTATTATTTAAAAAAAAAAAGTGATAGTAAACCTATTTCTAAGTAATTTCTAAAGTGAATGTGAAGAATTAAAGGTATGCAGAAAGTTTCCAACAAAGTCCAAAGGGCAACCAAAATGATAACAATTTCAGGACAAGTCTGTTTACTTTCCTTTTATCACTGAACATCCTTTGCACTCTTTACCCTAACCAACACCTTCCATTCAAGGCTTTATTTCTTCATTTATTTATATTTTAAATGGCACGTCTATTCTTTTGATAATTATTTTTAAAATTTTAATTATATATTCTATAAAAATACAATCATATCATATATCGTCGGTTTAATTTTTTACTTCTATTTCAATTTTAATATATTTGGAAATGTTGATTTCTATTTTTTTTTGTATTTAATTAGGTAGTTCGACTTTTTTTTGTGTATGAAAGAAAAGAAGTTTCCGGAAGTGTTTGTAATTAGTTGCAGTTTCAATGTAAAGGTGAATTTTTTTATTGGATGTGACAGCTTTATGTTTGTTTTCTTAATCTTGATTTTTCTTATATTTGTGGTTTTTGTTAGTCGGTTGACTTGTGACTTAACGTGTGTGTTTTTATGCACTCTTGAGAAACTCGTACATTTAATTTGACTATAGTGAATTTTCTACTTTGGTTTGAACGATCCATAATTTTTTTTTATTTTTTTTATATTTTATTTGCATATATAATTAGTTATCATTTATATTCTTTCAAGTGAGTGAATGATTTTCTACTTGAAAAAATATTATCTCTCTTTCATAATTTATTTACAAGACTTATCATTTTTCAAATTTTTGCAAAGAGATTGCATTTTTTTCATAAAGAAATTGATCTCTTTCATAATTTATTTACAAGACTTATCATTTTTCAAATTTTTGCAAAGAGATTGCATTTTTTTCATAAAGAAATTGATTTGATTTTGAATATAATATTTTAGCATATTTTTTAATTTTTTAAATTAAGTTCGAATTTCAAGTGATATGAAAGAATATTTAGAAAAACGATACAAAAAATTATGAGAAGTTTAATATATAAAAATTTTCTTTTTATTGTAGTAATTTTATTTTTATTGTGCATGTATTTTGTTATTATTATTTTCTATAAATTAGTTTTGTTTTAAAATTGTATTGTGTATGTTATCTTTCAAATTGATTTGATTCGATAATATATTTTATATATAAAAAATATAAGTATTATTTATAAAAAAATACTACCCCGTCCCAATAAAAGAGTAACATTTGTTTTTTATAAATAGATTTTTTAATATTAGTATTATATTGAGTTGTAGTAAAAAGATAAAATACCCTATTGGTATTGGGTAATAAAAAAGTAATAATATTTATGTAAAATATTGGAAATTGTAAGGATATTTATTATGTTAGGTAGGTAATACAAAATTACTATATCAAAAAATAGTATCCGGACAAAAATAAAAATATTAAAATATTTGAATAAAATAGAATTTTTGTTAAATCTAATTGGATAGAAAGTAGTATATCTGCAAGGAAATTTATTTTAAAATACACAACTTCAACACCATAAATTTTCTATTCTTTTTTTTTATTATTCCCCTTCCATCCGTCTTCTTTCGACTTCCTAAAACTTCCTTGAATTTTCGTTCTTCCTCAGTTTATTTTCTTGCTTATTTCTTTTTCTTTTCTTGCTTGATTTGTTTGCTTTCTTTCTGTTTCCTTTGTTTTTTTTTTTTGTTAATTATTTTTGCGAGTACGGTTCTGGATCCTTTTTGAGGAAATCGGAGAATTCACTCAATTTTCGGCCGATTCAATCCAAGAAATCCTAGAAAAATATTTTGAGCAATAACAATATTATTTGAGTTCTTTCCGTTTCCTTTGTTTCTTTTTGTTAATTATTTTTTGAACACAATTTTCGGATCTTTTTGGAGAAAATCGGAGAATTTACTCGATTTTCGGTAATCGTAGAAAAATATTTTGAGCAATAATGTTTGAATTTTTTTCTAAATTGCATTTTAACGATGTAAGAAAAACAACAACAAAATCGTTAAATGTTTATTTTTTTCTTATTGGTAGGCATGATTCATTCCAAATTTATTTTAATTTTCAAATTAACAATATTTAAGTCGAATTTAAATATAAATATAAATTTAGCAAGTTATACTAGCCAAATCAAATCATTTGTTGCAGGTGGGGGGTTTGAATCCATTCATGCCATCTCTTCGGGACTATTTAAAATTTATTTTTATTTCAATTTAATGTGGATTGTACTTTGTTCATTTTAAATATAGTTTATACTTAAATTTAAATTATGATATAAATTGAATATATATATTAAAAAAAGATTCTATCACACTTTTGTAATGTTTTTTGATCGAGCTACAGAGTTAAGATTGATATTTAGATGAGAAGAGCAACAAGTTAGAAACATTTTTAAAAAATTTCAGTTTCATGTGATTGTTAATAAAGCGATGGATGCAGCAGCAACTATCAATTCTTGATCACTGATGATATACATTAATTCTATCAGATACAAGTTATCATTGTTTTTACCCTTTCGAATAACTTAAAACCAATTGCATAATGTTGAGAATCTAAACAATTTTGATCACAACTTATAAAAGGATTGGTATAAAATCCCCCAAATTTACTACTGTGTCTCCTCCACAGAATTTAAATCATAGTAAATTCCAGGGATAGAAATTGATGAAAAAATTCACAGAATATTCTGCACTAGAACCATATCATCATAGGATAGCAGGTTGGACTGAAGGTTAGAGGCTGGGATCGCCGGAGATGGTAGAACGGGCAATTACAAGGCTAACGGCATCAAAAGAAGCAGATATGGGAATTGTTGTCAAGAAGACAACAATAGAAGACAGTGTCTATGTTCTTTCATACAGAACATCGCAAGATAATAAATCATAGTAATGAAACAGAGAAAACACACATACTAAAACAATCATGTTGCTATCATTGATTCGAATAAACTTGAGCATGCATTGTCCAACCGAAGCAATTTTCAAAATCGAAAATTTGTGAAAGTTAAAAGATCAGGAAAGTAAGTTAACCGCAATTGTTTTGCGACCGTACGTCTTCTTTCCGCATACAACAGTTTGTAGAAATATATGGAGAGATTCAAACCTGAATTTTGTCAACAATGTAAGCTTTTGTTCAAGCCTTAGGGCTGGAAAGATTCTTTAGGTCCCTTTCCTTGGCGTACCAATCCGGAATGATCTTGGCAGCGTGCGGGTAGAGATCTCTGTAAGCATTCTTGATTGTCCCCTCTGCAACTGTAGTTGCAAATGATATATCTACAACAATGGCATTTTAATAATAAGAAATCCAAATACAAAGAAGAAAGCCTGACAGGTATTTTCGAGCTGAAAAGAATGACAGATGATTATTGCCCAAACCTTTCAATGGCTTCTTTGATTCTGACAGCTGAGTTATCATGAATATTATGGCTGCAGCAATAGAAATAGGGCTCCTCCTGCAATTTAAGAAAATGATGAAAACGTCAAACCAGCTAATGGATTGTTCGCCTTTTTTTCCAGTTTTTGAGAACATTACGAAATTATCCCAAGCAGCTACATTTTAATTCCAATTCTAATTCCAATTCCAATTCCAAAAGTTCTGTAACTTCAAATCAACTATGTGTTTATGTAAAGCCTTTTCGATTCAAAGTTCAGTAGTGATGCCACTAGAAAATGTTGAAGAGAAGTGTCTGCTGTGCAGTATTGTGTAGACACAAAAGATCAGCACAATACCTGATGTCGAAGTCTCCTGCCTTTTGAACTGTTTCCTGAACAGCTTTCACTTCTTCATTGCTCATGCCGAGATTAGAACAGAAACGCCTCTGAAAACCGGATGCCAAAACCGACAGTTTTAATGCAAAGAAAGATTATTGAAAGTATAATGATGGTTTTGCAAATAAATCAAGCATATCGCAATAACCCCTCCGCTAATAAAACTCACCAGATAATCTCCTGCATGAATGGTACCCATCTCCATCGATTCCCCCATCTCAACCTTCAACTGTTTCACAATAAATTCTTTTGCTCGGCCAATCTCTTTCTTTGTAGCTCCAGCAACAATGGAACATATTTCTAGTTGAGACCCACAAAGATTCAGAGGCCTTTTAAATGTGAGGTAGTAACAGATGCTGGTTATCAACTTAAGCAAGTGATTTATTCTGCACCTTTTACAGTGCGCGGTTTCCCTTCCTGCCTACAAGCAATATAAATGCAGGCAGCAACTAGAGCCTCCAAGTTTCTTCCCCTTGTACACTTTTGATCTTCTAACCTTTTGTATATCTCGCTTGCCCGGTCCTTCAAAGAAAGTAAGAGGAAAAATACATATATATATATATATATATGGATTTTTATGTCTTACTTCAGGAAATCAATATGCATGTTTACAAAGATATTATGTCATCACCCCTAACATTCGCAATCGTAAACCCTTTACAAGTCCCAACCCCCAGAGAGACATACAAGTGGTAGAAACAGTCATAAACGGAAAAATAATTCCTAAATGATTGCAGTTGAATAACTTTGGTAACACGTATAATGTGACAATCACTCAAAAAAGGTGAGTTCATACCTTAATGGTAGTAACCAAGCTCAACCTGGAGGAGAAAATCCAAAACAATTAATATCAGTAGTCGTCCCGTACAATTCCCATAAATGGCCAGAAAAGGGCAAATTAAACTGAAGTAACTAGCATTAATTCACATCTATAGGTAAAATCTTTCAGCCGACACAAAGGTTCTACTTCAACCACATAGATATCATGGCATCAATGTGTATAAGCTAGCTATAAGCTAATGGAAAAACCACTTGAATAGTTAACTATTAGACTGCTGCTACTTAAAAAAGGTTGATGAGAAAGATAAACCATCATCAAGTGCACAATAAGCATAACCAAGATAGATGTTTAGATTCTAGCTTCTTATATCCATCCACGCATGCCAAGCCAATCAAATTGCATCCCAAATTCTAATAACATAAATTTGGAAATAGCTTTCTCCCAGTTTCAATTCGAGCCAGACAGGCAGACACATTCATTGATGTTAAACCTTAACAACCATTTCTGTGGCGGCCAATACCTAATTCATAAATAAACGCTAATGAGTTAGTTCCTCATAGCACAATTCAGCCTGCTTTCTTTCAGAATCAAAACAACCAATAATCAAGACCGCTGGCTGATGTTGTTTCTACTTCGATTTCAACAATAAAAGCTCTCTTCTGTCACCCACATTTCCTTATTATTCAGCAGCAGTTTAGTTAGTTCTCATTCTAAGTTAAGTTTTCTTCTAACTACTAATCCAAAATACCTCACTTTTGAAGGTCTAAGTAAGTAATTAACCCATCCCATTTATCAATCGTCTGATTCATTCTTTGCCAAAGCCTTTGTTTCAGAAATCAACCAACCAACTGTCCCCAAACCCAAACCCTAGAAACAAAATCATAAATAAAATCAACAAAAAACAAAGTAAAACCCACCTATCAGCCATATTAGAAATCATCTTAAAAGCGAAGACAATAGCACGGTCGGGATCCCCGCCTCTGTTCTGCAAGCGCGCCACAGACGAATCTCCGTTGGCCCCATTGGCACCCCGAGAGATAACTGTGGAGAGAGCCGCATCTCCCAACAGCGGGTTCACGGGACCTCCGACACGGTTGGGGTCGTGGTCGCCCGAATCATCGGCGAATGTTCGCCACTCCGACGTCTCGTCTATGGAGCGCGCTTCTAGCACGAGGCCGCACTCCGAGCACACGGTGTCCCCAGCCGCGTGATCGAACACCACTTCCGTGTTTCTTTGGCAGTCCGAACAGTAAGAATCCCCCATCAGTGAGTAGTAAAACGCGATGAGGATTAGATTGATCGGAATGCGAATTCTAGCCGATTTGCCGGCAAAAGATTTTCTCTGCGTAGATTTAAACAAAGTAGAATTTCTATTAATCTCCGCCTTCTTCCGAATCCCTCCCTCCTCCAGAATCTAGCGTTAGAAATCGAAGAAGAGAGACGAAAGAGAAGGAAGAGTGCGTCGACAAGGAATGGTGGTATATATAGACAGAAACCCAAGGAGGAGGTCAGCCAATTCGGGCCCATTCGGGTTCGAATCCGGTCCGGGTTTGACAGCTAATGGCAATTGGATGAGGTGCACGCGGTTTTATTTATCCTTTGCATACTATTACTTATAGTAACAAAAATATGATATTGGTAATAGTTTGCATGATTTGCCATTTTATTTGTTCATTTAAAATATCATATTTAGTAAATATATTTAATTATTCTTTAAATTTCAATTAATGACTTTCTTTTTAATCTATTTGCATTATTATTATTACCAATAGAATTTACATTTTTTTTTATTAAATTTATTTTAATTTAAATTTTATATTACATACTCTTTGTACATTCTATTTAGATGTGAGTCTTGTTTTCGATACTTTGTCGTGAGTCTTATTTTCGATATTTTGTCGTTAGCATGTTTCGTCTTCAACTCTAATTATTTATGACTCTAACGTGATTTTAGTTGTATATCTTCGATATTTTTTTGCAAATTCAAATTATTTATGCATCATTTGAGTTTGAGGAAAATTTAAAGAGATGTAATATTTGAATTATTTAATTTTAAATTAAATTTAGTTGTTTTATATCTCATTTTATTCATTAAATTAGGTTATTATGATTTGAGTCTAGCGGGTCAAATGTCATGATTATATATAAGTCTTTCATCATATAATGGAATTTTTGAGTTATTTCACATGGGATCAAAATTACTTTTATCCTAAAGTAAACATAATATATTAATTCATATTATGTCTTTCATTTTTATTACGATTACGAATATAATTCAATTTTTGAGTCGCTTACAGTTGATTATAACACTTTAGATAATAAAATGGCAAAACATGCAAGTTTTACCGATATCATATTGTTACTATAAAATAATATATGGAAAGGATAAATGAAATCGCTTGCCCCAAATGCATCCCGCTCATTAGTTGCCACTTGCTGTCGGGTTCGGACCGGGTCCGGATTCGAACCCGAATGGCCGACCTCCATTTTGGAAGCTTGTAGGAAGCTCGCTCCACGATTTCTGTCTATATATACCACCTCGTCTTCCCCTTTTAAGTCTCTCTTCTTCGATTTCTACCGCTAGATTTTGGAGGAGGGAGAGATTCAGACGAAGACGGGGCTGTTTTGTAGAAACTTCTTTCGATTAAATCTGTCTCAGCAAAGCAAAGCTTTTGCTGGGAAATCGGCCCTAGAATTCGCATTCCAATTAATCTAATCCTCTTCTTCCATCAATTTACTACTTTACTGATGGGAGATTCGTATTGCTCCGACTGCCAAAAAAACACTGAAGTGGTGTTCGATCACGCGGCGGGGGACACCGTGTGCTCGGAGTGCGGCCTCGTGCTAGAAGCGCGCTCCATAGACGAGACGTCGGAGTGGCGAACATTCGCCGATGATTCGGGCGACCACGACCCCAACCGTGTCGGAGGTCCCGTGAACCCGCTGTTGGGAGATGCGGCTCTCTCCACAGTTATCTCTCGGGGTGCCAATGGGGCCAACGGAGATTCGTCTGTGGCGCGCTTGCAGAACAGAGGCGGGGATCCCGACCGTGCTATTGTCTTCGCTTTTAAGATGATTTCTAATATGGCTGATAGGTGGGTTTTACTTTGTTTTTTGTTGATTTTATTTATGATTTTGTTTCTAGGGTTTGGGTTTGGGGACAGTTGGTTGGTTGATTTCTGAAACAAAGGCTTTGGCAAAGAATGAATCAGACGATTGATAAATGGGATGGGTTAATTACTTACTTAGACCTTCAAAAGTGAGGTATTTTGGATTAGTAGTTAGAAGAAAACTTAACTTAGAATGAGAACTAACTAAACTGCTGCTGAATAATAAGGAAATGTGGGTGACAGAAGAGAGCTTTTATTGTTGAAATCGAAGTAGAAACAACATCAGCCAGCGGTCTTGATTATTGGTTGTTTTGATTCTGAAAGAAAGCAGGCTGAATTGTGCTATGAGGAACTAACTCATTAGCGTTTATTTATGAATTAGGTATTGGCCGCCACAGAAATGGTTGTTAAGGTTTAACATCAATGAATGTGTCTGCCTGTCTGGCTCGAATTGAAACTGGGAGAAAGCTATTTCCAAATTTATGTTATTAGAATTTGGGATGCAATTTGATTGGCTTGGCATGCGTGGATGGATATAAGAAGCTAGAATCTAAACATCTATCTTGGTTATGCTTATTGTGCACTTGATGATGGTTTATCTTTCTCATCAACCTTTTTTAAGTAGCAGCAGTCTAATAGTTAACTATTCAAGTGGTTTTTCCATTAGCTTATAGCTAGCTTATACACATTGATGCCATGATATCTATGTGGTTGAAGTAGAACCTTTGTGTCGGCTGAAAGATTTTACCTATAGATGTGAATTAATGCTAGTTACTTCAGTTTAATTTGCCCTTTTCTGGCCATTTATGGGAATTGTACGGGACGACTACTGATATTAATTGTTTTGGATTTTCTCCTCCAGGTTGAGCTTGGTTACTACCATTAAGGTATGAACTCACCTTTTTTGAGTGATTGTCACATTATACGTGTTACCAAAGTTATTCAACTGCAATCATTTAGGAATTATTTTTCCGTTTATGACTGTTTCTACCACTTGTATGTCTCTCTGGGGGTTGGGACTTGTAAAGGGTTTACGATTGCGAATGTTAGGGGTGATGACATAATATCTTTGTAAACATGCATATTGATTTCCTGAAGTAAGACATAAAAATCCATATATATATATATATATATATGTATTTTTCCTCTTACTTTCTTTGAAGGACCGGGCAAGCGAGATATACAAAAGGTTAGAAGATCAAAAGTGTACAAGGGGAAGAAACTTGGAGGCTCTAGTTGCTGCCTGCATTTATATTGCTTGTAGGCAGGAAGGGAAACCGCGCACTGTAAAAGGTGCAGAATAAATCACTTGCTTAAGTTGATAACCAGCATCTGTTACTACCTCACATTTAAAAGGCCTCTGAATCTTTGTGGGTCTCAACTAGAAATATGTTCCATTGTTGCTGGAGCTACAAAGAAAGAGATTGGCCGAGCAAAAGAATTTATTGTGAAACAGTTGAAGGTTGAGATGGGGGAATCGATGGAGATGGGTACCATTCATGCAGGAGATTATCTGGTGAGTTTTATTAGCGGAGGGGTTGTTGCGATATGCTTGATTTATTTGCAAAACCATCATTATACTTTCAATAATCTTTCTTTGCATTAAAACTGTGGGTTTTGGCATCCGGTTTTCAGAGGCGTTTCTGTTCTAATCTCGGCATGAGCAATGAAGAAGTGAAAGCTGTTCAGGAAACAGTTCAAAAGGCAGGAGACTTCGACATCAGGTATTGCGCTGATATTTTGTGCCTACAAAATGCTGCGAAGCAATCAATTTTCTTCACCATTTTCTGTTGGCGTTGGCATCGCCACTGAACTTTGATTCGAAAACGCTTTACATAAACACATAGTTGCTTTGAAGTTACAGAACTTTCGGAATTGGAATTGAAATGTAACTGCTTGGGATAATTCTGTAATGTTTTTCTCAAAAACTGGAAGTAAGGCAAACAATCCATTAGCTGCTTCGACGTTTTCACCATTTTCTTAAATTGCAGGAGGAGCCCTATTTCTATTGCTGCAGCCATAATATTCATGATAACTCAGCTGTCAGAATCAAAGAAGCCATTGAAAGGTTTGGGCAATAATCATGGGTCATTATTTTCAGCTCGAAAATACCTGTCGGGCTTTCTTCTTTCTATCTGGATTTCTTATTATTGAAATGCCATTGTTGTAGATATATCATATGCAACTACAGTTGCAGAGGGGACAATCAAGAATGCTTACAGAGATCTCTACCCGCACGCTGCCAAGATCATTCCGGATTGGTATGCCAAGGAAAGAGACCTGAAGAATCTTTCCAGCCCTAAGGCTTGAACAAAAGCTCACATTGTCGACAAAAATCGGTAAAAATTGTGTTTGAATCTTATTATTTTATATATACTTATTATAAACTTCAATGAATATGAATATATGAACATCTTTATTTTGAACCACATTTTAGTTTAAAATTCTTTCTAAAGTGTCTTTAGCTTAAACTAATATCTTTACTGACAGAATAAATGTGTTTTTTTTTTTTTTTTATCAAATTATTTCAAGTTTTTTCAATTCAATTTTCATAATTCCTACAAAAATGTAAAATCCAAATAACTTTTCAACTAAAAGAAAATTCATCAACCAAACATGAAGTGTGTTCATTTTCTTACAGCCTTCTCCTCCTCCCGTCAATATAATATTATTATTACTCCCCAAACTGCCAAATAATACAACACCATGAAAGTAAAGCCACTGCCATTCTTCTTCGTCTTCTTCCTCAGGCCACCTCCTGAAATTATCTTATCCTCTGCAGTGTACAAACAACCAAGATCGTTACTATTTCCTACAACCCAAAATATATATATATATATATATATTATACATAAACATTGTTAAACTAAATAATTATTACTGTAGAGTAGAAGAAGAGAAGAGGGTGTGTGTTCATATGTATTAGTTAAACTGAAAAAACTTACTGCACTCGGCGGCATGGCAAAGGCATCTCAACGCCGCACCACAATCTCCGCCGCCGGGCTTCCGACAACGGTCGCAAGGATTTGTTACCTCGAAGGATATCTTCATCCCACCCCCTTCCAACATATCGTCATTCTTTCTGTACACCGCACTGTAATAATGCGTGCACTTCATCGCCTCTGCCCCTGCTGCAGGATCTAAATCCATTCCCAGCAACCCTACATCTCGGACAAACACACACTTGGAAGAAGAAGATGATGATGAATACTCATGTCCTAATCCTGATCTTAGTCCTAATCCAAAGCCATGGCTACAACTTCCACTCAACTTCCATCCATCACGACTACAGGGCTCCGACAACGTGCTCGACGACAACCTCGTCGTATTCGAGCAGTTCAACAGGACCAACGAATTCGGGATCGGAGGAGGCGGGAATCCGGCCGACAGATGGTTTGGGGACACGAAACTGGATGCGGAAGCGCACTGGTTCAATCTCACGCTCAGAAGCTTTTTCACATAATCAATGGAGGAAATCTCGAAGAGCCCCACCGTGGATCTCATGTAGAGCTTGTCCGATTGGCAGAGGAGCATCTGTCTCAACTCAGAGTCAAAAGGCTCTTGAATGGTTATCCCTCCACAAACGTCTGCGGAAAAGGACGAATCCTGCAAGAAAAAAATGATGAAGAATACCAGGGCAAGCTGAAGGAAGAAGCACTTGTGCATTCTTAGTTACAGTTACAGTACAGAGATCTGAAGATGAAAGTGGAGACTCTACTCGATCGATCACTCTCCTAACTTTAATAACAACATTACATTACACTTTACCACTACAGAATTAAAAGCAGAGAGAGAGAGAGATAAGATTGAAAAAAGTGTACTCCATCAAAGTTGAAAAAAGCAGAGAAATAGAATTAAAGCAGATTTTGACATATATATATTAATCAGAAACGTACAGACAGTTCTCGATCACACAAAAGGGAAAGGGAAAAAGCAGAGCGAAGCGACTGTATGTATATAAGTATATATAAATACTAGTGTAAGAATAGCTATTATTGCGACATGCGCGCAGCTCTGTAATAGCAGTAGCGGTGATAACAATGTAAGAAGGAATTAAGCCGCCGGCGGTGGTGGCGGCGGCGGTTTGACGGTGACAGCAGGGAAATCGAGGAGGAGAGCCTTGTCAATGGCGGCGGAGAAAGAGGATGAGAATTGGAGGTGGCTTGGATGGGCGAGGAAGGAAGAGAAATCATCCTTGGAGCTGAATGTCATGAGGAAAGCATGCGTGAATCCCTGTCTCAGCATTTCCTGGCTCTCAATGTCCTCACCCCTGCCAATGCCAATGCCAATGCCAATTCAGTTCATCACCAGTTAATAATTAATTAATTAATTGAAAAGAGAGACCAGAAGAAGGAGTTGATGGTGTCCATTTCCGAAACAAGCTTCTCCATTCCTTTCAACACCTCTTCCACTTGAACGCCATCCTTGAACCTCACCAGCACCAAATGCTTGAACTCACGAGCAGATGCAGAACCCATGATCTACGTAGTAGTAACGCGCACACTGCTGCAGCAGCAGCCTGGTGTTTAATAATAACAATGGGATGGGATGGGATGGGACCCGACCCTGCAAATACATATATAAATACAACATTATTATTATTATTATTATTATTATACTGTATTTGTTTATATAAATGTATGTGTGTATATATATATGTATGTATGTATATGTCAACTTCAACAGTGGGATAGTGTCAAAGCGTACCATGAAGTGAGTCTGTGCTTTAGAGGACACTCTCTGAAATGTGTAATTTGATATTGATATTACTGATAGTGATAGTGATAGTGATAGCCATTGCCCATTGTCTCAACGGAGGGGCCTAGGCCTACCTAACTCCCATTACCCCTTCCTTCCCTCCTTTACCCTGCTAAGGTTTTTCTCCTTTTAGCTTTTTTTTTTTTTTTTTTTTTTTTATTGGATTTGAATTTAAAATTTAAAAAAAAAAAAAAAAAAAAAAAAAAAAAAAGAAAAAACCGAAAAAGGATAACAATACTCTTCCCGGCTGATGCCTTCTGTCTGTCATTTCTTGCATGATATTTTCTTTCTTCAAAGGGACCCCTACCTTACCCTACCGTCTACAGCCATTCTTGACTGTTTCAAAATGAGAAGGCAAAAATTAAAAATAAAAGTAAAATGGACATAATAATAATAATAATAATAATAATAATAACGAATAAGTATAAATAAATGAATTGATAGAACGAAGTGGCCTTTTTGAAGGTTTATTTCTTTAACGATTTTTTTATAAAATTAATTTATTATAATTATAATTATAATTATTTGTATTATTTAAAATTTTATTTTTTCATGAAGTAATATTCATAGTGTATAGGAAAAGTATATAGATGGGATGATAGTAAGTTGGAAGTTGGAACACGTTGCGGACAGAAATCATGCATGGCTGGCACGTGCGGGTACTGAAAGTGATGGCATTATATAATTAATTGCCTGCCTTTATCTGCTTGGCATGCATCACTACTGCATGTGTATCGTATGTATGTATGATGTCTAGATTTTTTTTTTTTTTTCTTTTATATTGTTCTTTAAATTTATTTATTTATTTTACTTTTTCATTACTCTATATTGCATCATTTCTTCATAAAAATTAGTATAATTTTCAAAAATATTTGTAATATTAAAGAAAAACCCAATCATTCAATACATCGACTGAGATTGAAAAACAAAAAAAAAAAAAAAAAAAAGAAAATTGATCACACAATCATTCACTCAAAAGGAACATATAAAAATGCATCAAAGCAATTAAAACCACAACTGTCACAACACAACGACACAGAAATAATAGCAACATATATGTATACATACATATATATATATGCATATGCGAAGTAATAATCTCCATCAAATTCATCAGAGCAGCTGCTGTTGATCCCTGTTGCTCTCACCAACGTCGTCTTCTTCTTCGTCTCCAAGTAACTTGTAGATGCTGAAATGGCTAACTCTGAACTTCCATTCTCCTTTCGCCGCATCATACGACACAAACTCAGCCCCTTGATCCTCGGCTTTTCTCTTAAGCATCTCCTTGTACTTGTCAATTCTCGGTCCTTCCGTGTACTGTTGTCCCGACTTCTTGTCAAAGCATTTGATATTGAGGAGAGTTACCTCCGCGGGTTTGTTCAGCCCTTGCCCCACGGGCGGTTTCTTGCTCTCGTCCATATACACTATCACCTCCCGATTGTTGAATTGGATGAGCGATTCCAGATCAAGCCTTCGCACGTCTGTTTCCCCGAAGAATTTTATGCTGCCATAACCGTGTCTTCCCACAACAAAATCCCTCACATGGCGACAAAACCCGGGTTCGGCTCTTTCCTTAGCTGCGAGCTCCTGAATTCGAGGCTCTGTGTAATAATCTGAGTGGCGAAGCTTTGGCATTAGTGCTTCAATGTCTGCTCCATGCTCGTAAACAATTGCAGCTTCACCTGCTCGGTGCCCTGTGAGAGTGATGTAAGAGTCTTCTTTCTCGGCAGAATGGCCACCATTGCTCTTTTGGTTAGCTCTCACAGGATGAGGAGCTTCCTTGCCCAGCCCATTTTCTGCTGAATTTTGGTTATTGACAGCTGAATCACAAACAAAGAATTTATTAGCAAACAACAAAATAATATGGAAGATGCAAAAGGTGCTGGTAAAGCATGCAAAATGATAACAAACCATCTTTTCCCGCAGTCTTGTAACCATTCGTGGTATTGTAACCATCGTGATGAACTTTACCTGCCCAAGTACCACGCAAAAATAGCAAATAGTTATTATAAAGAGACAGTTGCAGTCACGATCTAGAGACACTATGCATCCCCACAACTTTTATCAACAAACATATGCATATACATATAGAATTTGGTGCCCAAGGTTAAATGAAATAGCAAAAATTAAAACTAGGACACAGCTGACATCCTTAAAACAATCCATCCAATAACTGGAGCATCGAAATTTGTAAATTTTCAAAAGCCCATTCTGCTCTATACGTTTGAACTTTGATACTTTATTGGTATCCCTAGGTGATTATATCATCAACATCGGCATTGTCCAACATAATCTAGTATCCCTAAAGAGAATGAAAGACCAGTTTGTATCTTTTTTCATTTTTTATAATCATAAAGAAAGACTTCACGCAAGACAGGACTTCTACTTTGGTCCTAAGACACATTACAATCAGAAGCCATCACAGAAAGTGATGATCAAATCATCTAAAAAAATTATTATTCTTCTGGAACATATACTGAGCAGATTGTCTTTTCCCACAGTAAACTCAGATACTGCTCGTCCACAATTATAAATATCCCCATGTTGTGTTCATGAAGCAAAAAAAACAAGGTTGAACAGAAAAACATGGAAGTGATAGAATGATATCTATGTTCTCGAAAACAAAAGCCTCTAAAAAGATGATTTCCTGTATTTGGAGAGAGATTCTATAAAACGATTTATAGAAGTTCAAGGGAAATCAAGAGGTCCCCAATCTACCCATAATTCATTAATAAAAGAGGCCCAATTAGCAATGAATAATTACAAATTGACCATTATGAAATCAATATTATTTTAGCTACGAGAATAATAATAAACCACCAAGCCTGACCTTGTGTGTGCTGGTACTTCCATTTTTAATTTAAAAAACACAAAAAAAATGCTCTTTAACCAAAAAACCGGGCACTACACCTTATTGCATTAAAAATTTTTGATATAATCATTCAGGAGAAGATGTACCATTCTCATGCATAGGGGTGCCCATCGGCTTTGTCTTCTCTACAGAAGATCTAGAAGGCCACTGATCCAGTGGCCGAATTACAAGAGCTCTTGGATTCTCCCTGGGAACAAAAAGAGCATCTGCTTTTGGATTACTGGGTGTTTCTCCATCATCATTGAAAAATGGAACCTGATTGGAAGAAAGAAAAGCAAGAGGAAATATTAGAACAGTCTCATAATCCTTGTTGGGGCCTAATTGGATCCAACACAATACAGAAGTATCATCGAATTGTGCAAAATTACCTTTGGGCCATCAGCTTTTGGATGATATTTCCTTACAGGCAACCTAATACGCCTTTGTGAAAGGTGTCGAGATGTCAAGAGTGATGAAATTCTTACAGGCGTGGGTTTTTCAACAACCTGTTAAAAGAATATCCATTAAAAATTTAATTCATATATGGAGTGTGGTTAATTGCTCAACTGTTTGTGCCATTTTGAAAGCACCATTAACAAAGACATGATGTAAGAATTTCTTCTGAACAGATCTATCAAGTATGAGAATACTTACAGGCAAGCTGGAAATTCCATACTGAATAGAAGGAGAAGTGCCTGTGCGACCGATTGACATCTGTGGCATTGCTGGCAAAGTTCCAAAAGGATTTGTAATGGGAGCAGCTTGTGTAACCACAGAGGTCTGAACACCTGGCCTGTAAAATAAGGGCAAGCCAAATTCTTACAAAATCTTATAAATGCACAAATGGAACATCAGACAATCACATGCAAATATCAACAGAACATATCATATCATTTTCAAAGTGAATCAAATGGTCAAAGACACCTAAGTGAATATAAGTTTCTATTCAAAAGTGCAACACAGCTTAGGAAGACACACACACACAAAATATATATATATATATATATATCTAACGATTTTCAAGTGGATAGAAGCATTCCTTAAGCCAACTGACCATAATAGAAAGAAACATTAGGGAATTAAGGAGAAAATCACAGGAAAGAGTAAATAATAATTTTATGAAATGTCTGCACAAAAATAACAGTGACGGACAAGTAGCAGGCTACGATACAACAAGAAGACAGTAGAAATGACTTACAATTGTCCAAATGCATTATTGGTAAACATTCCAGGAGTCCCACCAAAGCCACTTGAAGGAGCTGAAATTACAAGAAATAACATTAAACTGATAAATAAAATGACCCCACATATAAGTTATAACTCAACAGAAATAATAATGCAAGGAAAATTAGAAAAAGTGAGGAGAGTAACCTGCTTGTGACTGACCAAAGTTGCTAAAATTAAAACCACCAGAGCTTGGAGCTGGTTGTGCAGGTTGAAATGGGGTACTAAGTGAAGGCTTCAAAGAAAACATAAGACAGAATGATGTAAGCCAAGAGCAGTAAGGAAAGCAATAAAAAAAATCTTGGTAATTGTACAATAAATTTGTCAGCTACAGAAAAATGCTGAAATAACCAAATCACAACTATAAACAAATTTGCATGGCATCCCAACTTCAAAATCATTTCAGTATTTATTTGATCGTTGAAATTAATACAATTACAGAAGCTTGACCATGCAGAGTAGAATGATGAGGAATAGAATGAGTAGTCAGATCACTAATAGCAACTTACAGTTGTTTGGCCAAACCCCAAAGTGTTGCTGCTACTTAGAAGTGAGGAAGTGGAGGAGAACAAATTGCCACCAAAGCCGGTAGAGGGTGTATTGAACAAATTTGATTGTCCAAATGCTGGTGCAGATTGGCCAAAGGCAGAAGAGGTCTGTCCAAAAGGAGAACTGGTCTGTGCAAGTGTTGGTGTAGTAGATTGGAAAAGTGGGGAAGACTGAGTGTTCCCAAAACCCAAGCCAGAACCAAATGCAGATCCTGTCCCTGGTGCTGATGTGGAGCCAAAAATAGACGGTGATCCAAATGCTGATGTGCTAGAAGAGCTAAACAAAGAGGGGGAGGTATTAACTCCAAATCCTTGAGCGGTGTTCCCAAACATGGAGGATGTTGCTGCTGTTGTTGAGCCAAAAGGATTAGATGTATTTGTTGTCCCAAAAGGTGAGGATCCAAATGCAGATGTAGATGAAGATCCGAAACCAGCACTGCTAAATACTGGGGTCTTTGGGGCAAATGGATTGGCCGATGAAGAAGAGGAAAAAGGATTGGCTGAGGATTGACCAAATGCAGAAGTCGATGAGGCCCCGAAACCTGAACTACCAAAACCAGTAGCAGCAGTAGCTTGACCAGCAGGAGCTGGTCCTCCTGTACATCGTATAGAAAGTAGAATTAGTAATCACACAGATGCAGCACATATTTTTAAATTCAAGTTATAGACAAATTTCAACCAGATCACCTTTATCGCCTAACTGGTAATCCTCCCATCTGAGTTCTTCATGGCATTTATCTTTGTAGACTGGCATGGCAGAAATGGATTCCAGTTTTCCAGCAGGCTGTGTACCAGTATCCGTCTCAGGTGTTGATGAGTAAGGTGATACCCTACTCCCCCCTCGTTGACCTCCAAAAGCAGTTTGGCCAAAGCCAGGGCTACCAAAAGCTGGAGTTGTGGCCTGTGTTCCTGCAGAGGTTTATGTCAAAGAAAAGACCCAAAACAGTAATACGGTGCAGTTGGCCTCCAAATCTTCTGCAATGAGGATTTTCTCAATCTCGCCTCATTGGAGCAAATTTAAGGGAAATGAAATTTGATTTCATTTAAATGAAATTTGAATAATTGGTTTATTAATTTAATGTAATTAAGCATCAAGATATATGTGGCATACCTTCAGAAAAGCAACTTAATAGTATATAGAATGTTCAATTAGTGTTTTGTCTATTTTATTTAATATTCAATCTCTTACTTTACTCAAGAAACATCACATGCAATATCAATTTTTTTCATGCAAAATATCATATCCAATAACTATTCATCAAAAAAAACATCAGAACTAAAAACAGAAAACTAAAACAATATACCAAGAAAACAAATGCATATCCTGCATGGCTTTTTCTCAAAACAAACCTAGGGGAAAATAATGGATTGCTGACTCACAATTAAAAAATAAGTAGAGGTGTGGGTATTCAAGCAGTTAAAGTTAAAAGTTACTCCAAAATATCTGGTGCCATCAATGACATAAAATAACTTACCAAAAGAAGAGCTTTGTGCTCCAAAAGAGGACGTTGCACCAAATGGGCTACTTCCAAATGCAGAACCAGATTGGCCAAATGCTGGACTTGAACCGAAGTTAAATGAAGGAGTACTTGAAGCACCAAACCCAGGAGCGGATGCAGCACCAAATCCAGGAGAAGATGCAGCACCAAATGCTGGGGTGCTGGTGGCACCAAATGCAGATGTGCTGGTGGCACCGAATGCAGGAGTGCTAGATCCAAATGGAGAACTTGAGACACCAAAGCCACCGCCTGTGCTACCAAATGCAGGGGTTGAAGTTGAACCAAAGGCGGGGGTGGTACTAGTACTACCAAAAGCAGGCGTGCTAGTTGCACCAAAGGCAGGGGTACTTGATGCGCCAAAAGCAGGTTGACTTGGTGCACCAAAGGGAGAGGATGAACCAAATAAGTTGCTCCCAAAAGCTGGTTGTGATTGTTGAAATGAGCTTCCAAAAGGACTTGTCTGAGCAGTACTTGCTCCAAAACCACCAAAAGCAGGCTTCTGTCCAAATACTGATGAACCTACATTCCAAAATTTTAATAAAATTGATCAAAGCAAAAGGATAACACAAAAATATGTAAGGCCAGGAAACAGGATAACTGTAAGATCACAATAATTACTTTGGACAAAATATTTATACGAAAATGAAAAGGTCCAAATGTAGTACCTGGAGTTGCTATTTATTTTTAAAAAAAATTGAAGTAACAAAATTTGGAAGTTTAACTATTAATTAGGAATTGGCAAGAGACATCAAGAATCTGATAACAAACAATAACAAAGATAACAGCTATTTGAAAGCAACAATGAAATTCAAACAAGACAAGAAGACGCAAGAAGGAATGTAAGGATTAACTATCAACAAGCATAAGTAGCAGCAAAGTTTCCAGCTACAGTAAAGCACCTTTAGGCATTTCAGATATGCAATGTTTGCCAAAAACTTTTCACTGGCAAATTCTTCCAAGTTCATGTTCTCTGGATTTAAAGTTTCTAAATCATTATTTAACCAAACATTATTTAATATAATTTAGATGGAGCAAAGGCATGTGAAAGTTCTGAAGGAGTACAGTCATTTTGTTTCCGCTTAGTTGTATTGATTGGCACTTACCACCAAATCCTGAAGATGTGTTTCCAAAAGCAGAACCTGTGGAAGCTCCAAATGTTGGTGTTGAACTTCCAAAAGCAGGAGATGATGAGGCACCAAAGACAGACGTAGAACCTAAAGGAGAAGATGATTGCGCTCCAAACACACCAGTGGACATGTTGCCAAAAATGGAACTCCCAGTTTGTGCACCAAAAGGATTTGTACTCCCAAAGGGTTTAGGTGCACCTGAATTGCTAGTAGAGCCACTAGGCTGACCAAAAACAGGTTGAGACCCAAATGGGCTACTGGATGACTGCCCAAAAGCTGCAAAACAACCAGAATAAGTTAGCATAGTCAGACCAGATTGTTGAAATTTATCTTTGATTAGCTAGCTCTTGTTGTAATTAACTGGATTAGCTCATTAGCTTCTAGATTAGTTCTTATCGTAATTAACTGCCTACCCTTGTACTCTATTTATATCTCAAGCATCAGTGAGAATGATCACCATAGCATTCTCCAATATGTTCTCGCTTTCATGATATCACCCGAACAACAAGTCTAATCTTTTCTAATTTTCTTCTCTGCTCCCATTCATAACTGAGGTTTACCTCCACAAGATCAATTTTGTTCAAACAATATTTCTGTATAATAGGGATGATACAAGTAAATTATGATATTATTCTTATCCACCTAACAACCATGAAAATTTACATTCATATTTGTAGAGACATATCCGCATCAAGAGAGAAGTCAAGGTATCCCATTGCTCCTCCATAATTTAGCATTACTTGGTTAGTATTTATTTATTAATCTTCAAGCTTCTATTGTGAGATTAAATGGAAATATTGAATTTCATTTACTCCTTTTGTCTATCTTTCCAATAATTATCCAGCTTTTACTTGGGATAAATATTAACAAGCATGCCTGATTAGAATAAAACTCTAGAATACCGATTTTGTTCAAAATTACTATTTTAACAAAATAGTCCCCTAATCCACACCAGACACCTTTTAAAAGTTATATAATGAAGCAACCACCAATTCCTGATCACTGGTTTACATGGTTTTTTACCATTAATTCTATCCGAAGATATCATTTGTCTTTAGTTGTTAAGCTTTCAAATAAGCTTTACTTTCTTGAACCCAATTACATAATGTTGAGAAGCTTAGGGCATGCAACAATTCTGATCATAACTTTTAGAAGGATTGGAATAAAAACCCTCATATTTACTACTGTCTCCTCTAGAGAATTTATATCATAGTAAAATCCAAGGATAGAAATTGATGGTTTTCCCACATTCTTGGCACCAAACAAATTAATGGAAAATTCCAGAGAGAGTTCTACATATATATAAAGATACATACTTATTTTCGAACCCTATCAGCATCCAGTCTTAGGATGAAGGTAATCGGTAAACAATTGTGACCAGTTAGAAAAGTGAGATACAAACTAAATTCTATGTGGACTAATAGTTCAGGTGATGTCCAACAAATATGCACACTTAAGCTTACCAGATTTCAGATAAGATATCAAGTTAAAGGAGAAGAGAGGAGAAGAGAGGGTGCATTCAAAGATACAAAAAGAAATGCCAAGGCAAACATGGAGAAACAAAAAGGTAAAAAGTTTAAAATATGGATGAATCAGCCAGCAGCACTTACGATTGCTTCCGAACATTATTACTTGGCAAAGAAATACTAGTCCGGTTTGCCCTTGATCTAAATCTGCACAGCATCAAAAGACAAGACAAGCTGCTACATTAAAACATCTAAAAAAAAGGAAAAACAACCAAATACATTTTCAACAAATTAGGGACGGCAACAGCGGGGCCAAAATCTTAATACTTGATAATTGAATTGAAATAACACAACAGCAAGATCGACAAAAGTGCTGCCAATGCTCGAAAGATTCTCACACTTGCTTCTCTTTCTTATCCATTGAAGACTAAAATGATTAAACTTACAATACTCTGCGCTGTAGGAAATGAATCCAGATGAAGAAGAAGAATAATTATTTTGCAGTGAGCATACGAAAACGGGTGAAGAAGAAGATTATGGCTGGATTGAAATTTTTTCTCATTGGGCGTCCTGACGAAATCGAGTGAAGAAGAAGAAGAAGATAAGGATATAGATTGGTCAGGATTAATTCTACTTTAAATCGAAGCTTATAAACCAAAGCAGAATGCACCAAATACATAGTTATTTGAAAAAAGAATGCCGACAAACAACGAGTTCAATACGTCGATCGAATCCCAGCGCAAAAATAAAACCTGACGCCAATTGCAGACAGAAACCAAACCAACTTTCATACGACCAATACAGAAAGCTCCTACCTAAGAGTGCGCAAACACCCAATATGGAACAAACGAAAGCTAGGGCTAGGGTTACACAGAAACGTGAACCACGACCACCACCATACCTGCTGAAGTAGACAGAGAGAAAAACCGGTAGATCCAGCAGCGCAGCAGCAGCAGCAGAGCGAGCGAGGACGGCGGAAGGGAGACGAAAAGGATGGATCGCGTAATAGAGAAGCTAAGTTGAGCGTCCTATGAGACGAAGAGCACCACCTTCAATTCAATTCAATTATATTTATTTTCGAAAAACAAAACATTGTCTGTCACCACGCGCAGACTTGCCCGGTTCCGAACCGGTGGTTCCGGTTCGATTTCGATTCATTCATTTTTAAACCGCGGAACCGGCGGTTCATATATGGGTGTGTTTGTTTCGGGGATTTGTCCCCAAATATATAATTTATCATTTTTTTTCTTCAAAAATATCAAATCAAACACTTATTTTTATTTTTTATATTATATTAAAAATTATTTTTACATTTAAAACATCACCTCAATATCTATTTATATCACATCATACAACTATTTAAAATCAAAATTTTTACTAATCAAATCCCAACTCAAAATCCAAACCCCCGAACAAATACAAATATTCCCTAAATCCCTTTTGAATGTATTTCGTTTTTTATATCTTTGTTTTTTATAATAATATATTTGTAATTTAAATAAAATTTAAAATATTTATTTATTATTTTTTTAAAATAAAATTAATATTTTAGATAAAATATATTAAAATAATAATAATAAATACTTTTGAATTGAAATAAAATAAATATTTTTATGCTCGATCAAATGAACATCTAATTAGATGATAGAAGAAGTATTATATAGGAGAACATTAACCGAACAGTCAAGTTGGTTAAGCAGTTAGAGGACTGAAAGAGAAGGGAAAAAAAAAACGTGGAAAGAACTTTTTAGTTATTTTTTTGTTTAGATTATAATGAGTTAATAAAAAAATGTAATAATAAAATTATTATTATATAATAATAGTATTATTTATAGATTAAAATTGAAGTACTTAATTAATTTAATTAAAAAATTTTAAAAAATATAAAATTTAATGGCGTATACAATTATTTTTAAAATAACAATGAAATTATGTGGGATGGTCCCAAATGAGAATTGTGGATATGACAATTATATGGGATGAAGAGAGTATTATTAAGGGAGTGGTTGTTCTTGGAAGTTTGAATTTTGATTTGAGATTTGGATAGTAAATTTTTTTTAAAATTTGAATAAGTGTATGTTGCGATATAAATAAATATTGATCATGATGTTTCATGATGTTTTGAATGTGTTGATGTATTTTTTCAACAAAAATAAAGTAAAATTCAAAGATATGAAAAATATCCTTAAACTTGATTAATTAGTGCCTGAGATTAGGAATCTCTAAACACTGTAACGTACAGAAAATAAACTGGAAAATAAAAGACTGAAATTTAAAGTGGTGATCCCCAAATCTGACTTTGCTTTGTTGAAGTTGATTGAAGATGCCTTGCCAAATGATTATCCAAGCCTTTAAATATTCTCCGGGAAACCGTACCGAAAACCGTCACCCGAACGGTTACAACGTCTCCTTCCAAACCGTCTTCCAACCCTTCTCATGCTGACACGCGTCCTCAGCAGACCAAAATTATCCCTATATTTCACTCTTTGAGCCGACCACAGACCTTCCGCTCTTTTGGCCCGACTACCAATCTACAATAGTATGGGTCCGACCGCCAATCCTCCCGACTTGCGAACCATCTGACTTGAGGTCTTTCCGCCTTGAGGACTTCCCGACCTGAAAACCTTCCGACTTGAGGTCTTTCCGCCTTGAGGACTTCCCGACCTGAAAACCTTCCGACTTGAGGTCTTTCCGTCTTGAGGACTTCCCGACCTGAAAACCTTCCGACTTGAGGTCTTTCCGTCTTGAGGACCTCCCGACCTGAAAACCTTCCGACTTGAGGTCTTTCCGTCTTGAGGACTTCCCGACCTGAAAACCTTCCGACTTGAGGTCTTTCCGTCTTGAGGACTTCCCGACCTGAAAACCTTCCGACTTGAGGTCTTTCCGTCTTGAGGACCTCCCGACCTGAAAACCTTCCGACTTGAGATCCTTCTGTCTTGAGGACCTACCGACCTGAGGTCCTTCCGTCCTAATGACTTTCCGTCTTGAAGACCTACCGACCTGAAGACCTTCCGACCTGAGGTCCTTCCGTCTTGAGGACCGACCGACCTGAGGTCCTTCCGTCCTAATGACTTTCCGTCTTGAGGACCTACCGACCTGAAGACCTTCCGACCTGAGGACTTTCCTTAGTAATAAACCTTTTTTCCTTGATTTCCTCATGGTACCCCTCAGTCAGTTCAATCAACTCTATTGCCAGGCCCATCCTTCTTTTTACCTTGGGCTTTTAACCTAATTCTAAATTTCGTACGTAACAACTTGCCCGCCGCCAAGGGACTTTCAAACGCCATTTAACAATCAATGTTTGGAAGTTCATAAATCACTACCTTCTTGAAAAACTCCCTTAGCAACTGCACCAGTTACTGCAACACTCCTGATAAACTTCCTTCTCCGCAATACAAGCTTTTGTGAATCACAAACCCAAAACACTCTGACCATGGCGAATCAATACATTCCTGCCCTTCCCTTCGATGGAACCCTCCCGGAGGGCCCATTTTCAGCCTCGAAAGTACTGACTCCGATGATCCGTCCATATTGCACTACTCCTGAAGATTCAAATCGGATGAGGGAAGTCTTGGAATCCCGAAATTCCTTAGCTATCAACAGCCCTAACTACCAAGCAGTTCGCATTCGAGACAGTATCAAAACTCATCTCACAGACCCAAAAGATCCTTACCGCGCTTGGTATCGACGGGTAGCAGAACACTTCCAGACCCAATGGCGTTCCCAAAAAATCGACCAAGCAATATTACTGTCCACCATGCCTATCAACCTGCATGAGAAGGTGTTGTTGGCCATGTCTGCCTTCTGGAATGCGGAAAATGGGACTTTCCTCTTCCCATCGGGCCCCTTTGGCCCAACTCTTATGGACGTTGCAATGATCGCGCATCTCCCAGTCGTGGGTGAAGACCCTGTAATGGGAGCCCTAGATGGGCAGGAGCCATCAGAAGACCATCCAGGGTGGTCTTTACAAGGTGTGAAGGAATGGGGTTGGACAAAGTTCGCAACCGACCAGCAAGGGGCTCCAGGGACCCCTGTAACCGACCGGGAGCATACTGCCTTTATCCTTTTTTGGCTTTGTAGGTACGTCATTGTTTCCCCTTCCAAATGTGTTCTTCCTTCTCATCTCGACCTAGCCATTCATATCGCGTCAGGTCGTTTTTTCTCTCTTGGCACCCTGTTTTTAGCCAATCTGTTTGAAGGACTCACTAGAGTTAGCCTTCGTTTAACAGATAATGATAATAGGAAATTAGATACTGCCGCGTCGGGTCCTTTTTGGTTTTTAGAACTTTGGTTCCGGCTCTACTTCCCCAATGCGTTTAACTTAGGATCTCCGCCCACTATGCCAACAGCTGAAAAACATTTGGGATTAGCCCTTAACCGACTCTGCTCAGGACGGAATAACCTCCAATCTTCCGATCCAATAATAATCGCAGTTTTAACAGATACCCGCAATAACTCTCGATTTTCTATGTATAAAAAATATGCGGGCTATGCTCCCGACCATTTTTGGCCTTTTCCAGTACCAAATCCGCTTCCGACTCCTGAACCTTGTCCTCATTCCACTTATCCTTTTGCCTGGGACGTTGCCCTCAAACCCAGGTCTCTTTTTAGTAGCAAAAAACTTGATAAAAAGGGGCAGAAAACCTTTTACACTTTTAATTATGAACCTCAATTCATAGCGCGCCAGTTCGGCTGTTGCCAAGGTATCCCTGGACCCGTCGCTTGTCCTCATATAATTTTTCAAAGTCCCGACCGACGAGTCCTACCAAATTCAATCCCTTCTTATATCTCCCAGCTCACCACGTATATAACTTCCAATTCTTATATTCCTTTCCGCTCCAACCCTGAGATTGTAGATACTTTCAATGAATGGTGGTCGGTTGTATGGCCCCTGATATCCCCTGATGAGGGTCGGTTGCTGAACATACTCCTTCCACCCCAAGGATTGGTTCTAGGGGCGGCTAGACATACTAGCACTCAACAACCAACAGCCGCCCCGGGGACCGGGTCTATTGCTCCAACGCGAAAAAGGAAGGCGTCCCGGCTGCCGACACCCCCGACCTCAGGGGCCGACCAGCAAGCACCAGCGAACCTTGGAACTACAAAAACATCAGCAAGGATCCGACCCCGAATAGGTAATTTTTCTTAAAACCGTGAACCAATTCACTGTATCTTAACTTTGATTTCACTTATCATTCACCAGAACCGACCTTGACAGCACCGACCACACAACCAACGCCAGCCCCAGCCGACCAACCTTTGGTCCCGACTGAGGCAGTTCCTCTTCAAACCCCTACTCCACTTCTCACTTTGCCAATGAGCAGTCGGGCAGAAGACCCGACGAGGAGGCAAATTCTTCCTCCCACACCGAGGAGCGGTCGGGCCAGGCACCCGACCAGGAGGCAATCTCTACCAGCAGTGCCTACAGAACCAGTAAGTTCTCTCATCAGCACTCCTTAGTATTCTAATGATCAACCTTGATATAGTTAACAACAAACATTTTCATGATTTTCCACAGACACCTTCACCCATCGAATCAGCAGCAGGGGTCTCTTCTGACAGCGAGGGGACTACTTCCCAGATGGGTCGACCACCATACATGGCATCAAACTCATCCATGTCAAAGGAAGAACCAGCCGCCCTCGCCGAAGCTGACCCTCAAAACGACATCCCTGATGCTGCTGATCCCGAAATTGAAGGTGCCCCAGAGATCCCGGCTGCAGTGGCTCTAGATGCAGCCGCCCAACCTGCAGCCGCCCAGCCAGCAGCGGCACTTCCTCTAGCAATTGAGTGGCAGGCAGAAGAACCACCTGTGGCAGCCCAACCTCCATAAATGGAAGAAGTTTCTTCATCCGACTCAGAGACTTCTGTAAACTTGGTAAGATTACACCAATTCATGCCACAATGTTTCCCTCAGAAAACACTAACTGTTTTATATACCACGTTCCATAGGGACCCAGGTCGGCACCTCAGCGACCATTCGCAGCAGCCGACGAGTCGGCTGCTATTATACCAGCTGTCTGCCCTACTCGACCGACCTCATTGCTGCACCCCTCACTGACAGCAGTCCGTCCAGAGGTAACACATATCCTATCTGAATAAATTTGCACTTCCTCTGGCATACTTATTGACATTGTAGGACTTGCAGGGGCCTTCGGACTTAGCTGTCCTGTCGACTGTTCCGGTTCCGGCGGAGGCCCGAACTATCTTCACCGAGGCCATGAACCATCCCTTGCCAGAATTGAGATCCGACTTGTTGGACAAACTCATCCAGACGGTTGGTGGCCTTCTCTTTTACACTCCGACGGAATCGCCAGCTGTCCCCATTCTGCATCGGCTGATGGAGAGACTTACAGAGCTCAAGACTGAAGTGGTAGTCATTGGCCTTCTGTCAGCCGAAACCCCCCAGCCCGACTTCGATCAAACAACGCTGGAGAATTCTTTGGCTAAGACTCGAGAATCCCTTCAGCAGACTACTGGAAGACTGGGTGGTCTCCTTAGCACGAAAGCTCTGGTTGATGATGCCATTCAGAAAAAGGAGGCAGAATTGCGGGAGCTGAGGAAAGAACAGTCTACCCTGGATAAGCGAATTACCAATGAACAGCATCTGCTTGAGAAGTATACCAAAAATGAGGCTGAATTGGATCAAGAGCTGAAAACCCAAGCCCGCTCCCAATTCATCAGAAGATATCAGACGGCTGCCAATACCAGAAGGCTATCCAGAGGGATGAAAACAAATGGACACAGATAAAAACTGCCCTAGGGGCACTGTTGTAATATTTCCCCCTTTGTAACAATACTTGACTTAGTAATCCATTTTTTCTTTCGTCTCACAAAACAAGGATCACCTTTCAATTTCCAACTTTGTAGGAATAGAAACAAACTCCTTATTTAAAAGAACATTGTTTCTCACATTTCAAGAAACACATTCCAAGGCATATTTTGAAAATCACAACACTTAAAGTGTTAACAAACATGGCGAATGACCGACCTTATGTTCCATCAAACAATTGGCAGGGTGTTCTTCAACCCTTCTTTGTGGGTAATCACCCTATTGGAGGCCATGCAGAAGACTTGTTACATATACTCAAGCAACTAGACTTCAAATTCCGATTCTCCCAACGAGGAAGAAGAACCATTCATCGCGTCATCCGCCTGATGGAAAAAGTCATTGAAGGGTATGAACCTCTTCGTGACATCCTTAGCCGCATTCCTGATCTTCATCATCACATGGAAATGATCGAAAATCACGCAGCAACCATACTTCCAGATCTTGGTTGGGATAACATATTTTCCAATCAACGAAAAGTCTTTTCAAGATTGCGGACCATCGTTGATCGTGAACATCAAGCCTGGGATGAAAAGTCTGATTCAGAGGCAGAAAACTTCCCACAAATACACGATGACTAACAGAAATGAACCTTTAAATAGGTTCGAACCCCATAAATGGGTTCTGAATAATATTTTGTTTCAGGCAGTTTTGTTATCTGAAAAGGCAGGATAATACCTCTTCAGATATTTAGCATTAATACAATCATGTACTCTTCTCCCTTCATGATTTACAATAATGAAAGCGCCATTCCCAATATCTTTTTGAACAATGTAAGGTCCTTCCCAATTCGGTGACCACTTTTCCAATTGGTCAGTTTTCTTATATGTAGGAAGGATGGTCTTCCAGACTAAATCTCCTTTTTGGAATGTCCTGTGAAGAACTTTCTTTCCGTAACTCCTTGCTCTGATTTCACTCTGTTTCACACTTCGATCTATTGCATGGAGACGGTTAACATCCAAATCCTCCAACTGTTGCATCATAAGTTGTTGGTATTCTCTTGTAAGATCACCATCAGTAAACTCTGTTCGGCCAGATGATACTCGTATTTCGGCTGGTAAAACAGCATCTTGGCCAAACGTGAGTTGGTAAGGTGAGAACCCTGTGGCCGTATTTCTGGTATTCCTATGTGCCCATAAAGCCTGAGACAATAACAAATGCCACTTTCTTGGGTTCCCTTCAACCATCTTCTTTATAATCCCAATAATAATCTTATTTGCTGCTTCCGCTTGTCCATTGGCTTGGGGATAATAAGGTGAAGAATGATGTAATCGAACACCGAATTCTGCCAAGAAACTAGAGAACTTTTCCCCTGTGAAAACCAAGCCTTGGTCGGTTGTTATAGACTGAGGAATACCATATCTGTAAATAATTTGGTTCAAAACGAAGTCTATCACTTCTTTCTGATCCACATTTTTCAAAGCAACTGCTTCTACCCATTTGGTAAAGTAATCAGTCGCGACCAATATGAAACAATGATGTTTCGATGAAGCAGGATGTATCTTACCAATAATATCCATAGCCCATGATTTAAAAGGCCATGGTTTTGCCAAAAATTGCAATTCAGTTACTGGCAAATGGTTTAAGTTTCCATGTCTTTGACATTCCTGACAGCCCTTGGCAAATTGTATGCAATCTTCAAAAATCTTTGGCCAGAAAAACCCCAAACGATGAATGGCCCATCTCATATTCAGACCTGCTCGATGAGCTCCACATATCCCACCATGTACTTCTGTCATCACTTCTAGAGCTTCTTTAGATCCCAAGCATTTCAAAAGTAAACCTTCAAATGATCTCTTGTACAAAATTCCATTTATCAATTGAAAACGTAAAGCCTTCAATCGTGTCGCAATTGAAACACTCGCACCAGGATTCTGTAAATACAGGATAAGCTCTGTTCTCCAATCGGGCACTGTTTCGCAGTCGGGCTCCTGTCCGACAGTCTCCTGCTCGACCAGAACTTCGCAGTCGGGGTCCTGTCCGATAGTCTCATGCCCGACCGTAACTTCGCAGTCGGGGTCATGTCCGATAGTCTCCTGCCCGACCATAACTTCGCAGATCGGGTCTGTCTTTCCTTCTATGCCCGACTTGACCTCCGACCACATATCCTCCAGAATTCCTTTACATGCCCTTTGAGCCAATTCATCAGCACGTTGGTTTTCTTTCCTCGGAATGAACTCAATTATTACTTCTGAGATTTTTGTCAGTAACCGACCCACAATGTCCCTGTATCTGCGAAGATGAGGGTAATTGCAAACATATTGATTGTTTACCTGGTTGACTACTAATTGAGAATCCCCCCTTATGATTACAGACTGGACCTTCCTGGCAATTAAAGCCTCCAAACCCAAAATTAAAGCTTCATATTCTGCCGAATTATGGGTCATGGATTCCAATCGTAGTTGTAAGTTGATCTTTTGACCATCAGGTCCTTGCAAAAAGACCCCTGCCCCTGATTTGTTTCCAGAGGTAGAACCATCAAAGAACATCAACCATGTTCTGGTACTTATATATGGCACACATCCGACCTGTAGATTATCCAAATATGATGAACGACCAAGTGGTCGGACGCTATCACAAAGAGAATACCCGACTTGTGAAAATTCTGCTAAGAAGTCGGCTACTGCTTGTCCCTTGATTGCCCTCAACGGGGGATGTTGAAGATCAAAAGGAGCCAATTTGATGGCCCACTTCATAAGTCTGCCCTTCATAGTAGGTCTCTGCAAAATTAATTTGATGAGATCCACCTTTGATATGACCTCAATTCTTCTGGGCAGCAAATAATGCTCGAGTTTAGTACAAGCGAAGACCAATGAATAACACATTTTTTCTGGCATAGTGTAATTCAGTTCTGGTCCTGTAAGGGTTTTACTGAGATAGTAAATTGCCCTTTCCTTCCCGTCATCACCATCCTGCGCCAATAAACAACTAACCACTTCATATGTATTTGCCAAATAAAGTTTGAGTGGCCGACCTTGTTTAGGAGGCATCAAGACTGGAGGGTGAACCAATGGCTGCTTGATAGCATCTAAAGCCGTCTGTTGGTCGGGACCCCATTCAAAGGCAATTTTTCCAGCTTTCAACAATTTAGTAATGGGTCTGACCTTGCCAGCAGCATTAGAAATGAAACGCCTCAAATAATTCACCTTACCCAACAGACTTTGGATTTCTTTAACCGTCTTGGGTGGCCGACTATCAAGAATGGCTTTAGCCTTATTGGCATCAATTTCAATTCCTCTCTCACGAACTAAGAATCCTAGAAAGCTCCCGGCTGATATTCCAAAAGCACATTTGGTTGGATTCATCTTCAACTTGTACTTCTTCATTCTTTCAAATGCCTCTTCAAGATCTCTCAAATGTTCGTCAAAACTGGCAGATTTAACTATAACATCATCAATATACACTTCCATAGATCTGCCAATTAAATCATGAAAGATTGAATTCATGGCTCTTTGGTAAGTTGCCCCTGCATTCTTTAACCCGAATGGCATGACTGTCCATTCATAAATACCCAAAGCCCCTGGGCATCTGAATGCTGTCTTAGGAATGTCTTCTTCTGCCAAGAATATTTGGTTATAACCTGCATAACCATCCATCAGACTAAGGATTTTATGCCCTGCTGCTGCATCTATCAGCATGTCGGCCATAGGCATCACATATTCGTCCTTAGGGGTAGCTAGATTCAAATCCCTGAAGTCGATGCATATCCTTATCTTACCATTTTTCTTGACCACTGGCACAATATTAGCCAGCCACTCCGCATAACGGCAAGGTTGAATGAAACCCACTTTGAGAAGTTTTTGGATTTCTTCCTTGATTTGAGGCATCAGATCTGGACTCATTCGCCTTGGAGGTTGTTTGTAAGGTTTACAACCTTCTTTGATGGGCAATCGATGCTCTATTAGACTTCTTGTCAAACCAGGCATCTCTGAATAATCCCATGCTAAACAATCAATGTTGTTTCTAATAACTTCGAGCATCATTGTTTGTTGCTCTTTAGACAA